TGTGTGTGTGTGTGTGTGTGTGTGTGCCCCTACACCGCTCCTGGACTAGTGTCTCGATGCCATCTCACTTCCATTTCGAGGATGGCATGCTCTTCAACACTTTTCCTTCTTTTTTGGCCAATCATGTCCTTATGGACACGGCTCTATTCTATTTTGGGGAGCAGCAGCTCTTCCCCTTTCTTTTACCCTTCTCTTTTCAGTGTTCTCACAGCAGATTGCTACTTCCCGTGGCATCTTCCGCGGGATCCTCCCTTTCGCTTTTTTTTCCCGAGTTTTTTTGCCTATACATGTACCGTTATGGCTAGAGCTCAATTTCTACTGTGGCGTTTTACGCCTTCAAAATTGAAACCACTCAACCAAGGGTAGCGTTGGCGAAAATCTAGGATGGTTTTGTGTACCTGTGATGTGTGAAGGAGAGTCAATATACCACCATGTCTCTTTTTGCCTGTCTTCTCTTCTTCCTTCGCCGTCTGTGACTTTCCTGCTCTATCAAAACTCCGGTCAAAGAACAAAACAGGGTTTTGCGCTGACCGCCCTATCTCCTGCACAGCACATTTTCAGCAAAGTAATGATAACTGTCATCCCCCTACACATACTCAGGCGCATTGGGCACAGCGGCCACCCGTTCACTCATCTAGTGACTCCAGTAGGATGCATGGACAAGCAAGATATGTTATCAGGTCGGGCGTCAAAGCAAGAATCTGCATGCGTCTATGACGTTTCCCACAATTCCCATAATGGAAGCGCCATAGACGCATGCAGACGGGGGCTGCTGCAAAGCCAATAATGATTTTCATTGTTTTGTTTGCGTTTTCTTCCAGGTTCGTTAGTTAGCTGTGGGTGAAAAGTATTTCTGCTGCTTCTGTTTGTCGTTGAGGGAGCTTAAAGGTGGTCGATTCATTTTGGACACTGCAAGTTGGTTTTTGTTTTTGTTTGTTTCCAGGGTGTTCATGTTGCTGGCTTGAGAGAGAGAGAGAGAGAGAGAGAGAGAGAGAGAGAGAGAGAGAGAGAGAGAGAGAGAGAGAGAGAGAGAGAG